CCTCCACGGGGGCGGGGGGCGCAGGAAGGTCCAGAGGGAAATGGGTGGGGGCCCAGCTGAGTCCCAAAAGGCAAGTGTTGGCAGACGGGCAAGTGTGGAAGGGATGGTGATGAGGTCCCATTTACCGGAAAGAGCTCCTTCCTGTGTGTGTGTCCGAACAGATCCGAGCAGGCCCCGCCCAGGCTGACGAAATCAGGACCGGCAGGCCGGGCCGTGAAGAAATCCCCCAGGAAGGGGCCGGAGGAAGGCGAGGAGGACGGGGCTGAGATGCCCCCTTAGTACTCAATCGCCTGTGAAACCCAACTCGGTTCCGATGAAACGGGCAGGAAGAATCCTCCCTGGGCCCGGGGTTTCCAACTGTACTAGTGTCCTTTCTGCACTTGGCTTCGTGTGTTGTGTGTGTGTTTTTTTAATCTCATTAACCAGATTCTATTCTGAAATATTTTTGAAATATAGTCGCGAACTTTTCTCACTTATTTGTGACTTTTCCCCTGTACAGCCAGAATCACCATCCATTGCCAGGGGTGCTCAGCTTTTGACTTCCGAAATAAGCTCCCAAAGCTACTTTCAGAGTCAAATGGTGTGAATGAAGCTTTTTTTTTTTTTTTTGAGATTTTTTTTTAAGGAGGATAATATTTTCTTAGGAATAAAAAATCAAGGACCTGAAGAAGGTCAGATAGATAAAAAAAAGAAAGGAAAACGTGTCCATATAAATAGATTTAAGAAATAATCGATAAAACATTTTGTTATTTAATATATCTGTGTCTCCGCTTCTCCAAATTGAGATAATAATAAGAGTGACCACATACTGTTTTTTGTTAGTATTAAATGAGTCGAACTATTTAAAGTGTTTACAACAGTGCCTCCCAACTGGGTCTGTTGGGAAGACATGGAGGTGACAGGACATGGCCCCTGGCTTGGTGGAGGACACAGACAGCAGTCCCTTCGCGGTGCAGCAGGACACACATCTCCACGGGGAGTTCAGGCCCCAGGAGGGGCAGGAAGGTCCAGAGGGAAATGGGTGGGGGCCCAGCTGAGTCCCAAAAGGCAAGTGTTGGCAGACGGGCAAGTGTGGAAGGGATGGTGACGGGGCCCCATTTACAGGAAAGAGCTCCTTCCTGTGTGTGTGTCCGAACAGATCCGAGCAGGCCCCGCCCAGGCTGACAAAATCAGGACAGGCAGGCCGGGCCGTGAAGAAATCCCCCAGGAAGGGGCCGGAGGAAGGCGAGGAGGACGGGGCTGAGATGCCCCCTTAGTACTCAATCGCCTGTGAAACCCAACTCGGTTCCGATGAAACGGGCAGGAAGAATCCTCCCTGGGCCCGGGGATGGACGTGAGGACGAGGCCCACGGGGATTCCAAGCAGGTTCCTGTTTGCCTCCCTCCAGCCGGCGGACCACCCACTGTGTGCTGACCCTGGCCGGGGGGAAGGGTGGCCCCGGCTCGGTGAGGACAGACAGCAGCCCCACCCGGTGCAGCGGGACACACCTCCACGGGGGCGGGGGGCGCAGGAAGGTCCAGAGGGAAATGGGTGGGGGCCCAGCTGAGTCCCAAAAGGCAAGTGTTGGCAGACGGGCAAGTGTGGAAGGGATGGTGATGGGGCCCCACCAGGGAGCAGCAGGGCAAACCCCCCCTTCAGAGCTTGACTGACCAGTCACAAAGGTCCCCGCTCAACCTGCAGGGCACTTCTGCTCCTCTGTGATACACAGACCCAGCTGGGAGAGAGCCAGCCAAGGCCCTTAAATGACACACACACACACACACACACACACACACACACACACACACACCCTGCCCCAATCATCTGCACGGGGGAGCAATGAGGACGATGGCCCATCATTCCCTTAAAACTCATTGTTTCTACCACAGTAACTTTAGGACGTGGGTTCCCAGACAATCCTCAGAGAAGAAACCCACCAAGATGAGCCCTTGCAGGGCCCGAGGCAGAGGAGTCCCTCCCAGAGAGATCCTGAGTCCGATTCCCGAGCTCTCAGGGAGAGAAAAACACAGACAACACAGACAGGACGGGGCAGGGCTCAGCTGGGCGGGGTCAGGGGCCAGGGAGGACTGGGATCCGTGAGTCACCAGCAGCCCTGAGCTGGAGTGACACCACGTCTATCATCATTTTTTATTAGTAAAACCAGACCCAGCCCTCCTTCCTCCAGGAAGACTTCCCTGATTGACAGTCACCCAAGTGCCACTCATCGCTCTTCCCCTAACAGGCTGGATTGTTGGCTCTGCCCTGGTCCCTGTCTGACTCAGCGGCACAAAACCCACCTCACGGTCTACCTCCCAGACTGGCCCTGACCCTGCACCCCAGGCAATTGCCAGCATCATCTTCTCGCCCGTCCTGGCCCCTTCCCAGGCGCTCCCTTTGCACACTGATCCTTGGGGCTCTCATCCAGAGACAGAGACCTTCAAGCCAGGGTCCATGTCGAGGGTGCCTCTGCCCTCCTGTCCCGTCCCACCATGTAGGTGCCTGAAGGAGTGATCAGCATCTCATGTCAGAGGGTCAGCTCCCCAAAGAGAAGACTCCTCTCTGTCAGACAGCTCCTGGGGGCAGGGGCTGCCTCCCCCCTCAGACAGGGGCTCCTGGGGGCAGGGGCTGCCTCGCCCCTCAGACAGGGGCTCCTGGGGGCAGAGGATCTCTCTCTCACCCAAAGTAGATGACCTCCTATTTGGAGGATCCAAACCTCCCCTCTTGGACCCATCGCTGATGCCCTAACCACGAAGAGAGAGACACCAGAAACTGCTGTGAAGTTGCTTTATTCTCTTCCCTCCCGGGTGTCCTTCCACACCCATGCACAGGCGTGCGCACACACATGGCACACGCAGACACGCGTGGCAGAGCTCCACTGGGCCGCCCGGCTGGGTCACGTGGCTCCTGGGGCAGGCCTGGGGGGCTGCCCGCTCCCTCTAGTAGAGGCTGTGCCGGGCGCAGTAGTGGGCGCACAGCTGCCGGTGGTACTGCAGGTGGTAGTCCCTCAGCAGCCGGCCCAGGACGTACAGGAACTCGTCAAAGCAGATCTGGTTGTCCTTGTCCTTGTCCGCTGCCCGGAACAGCTCGGTGATGAAGTACGGCTTCTCCCGGCCCTGAGGAGGGGGCAGAGGGTCAGCCAGCCCCCAGGCACTGGGCCCTGGCAGATGGTCCGGCTCCACTGCCCGCTGGTGAGGAGCCGGCGCAGGGAAATGGAGTGTGGCCCTGCCTGCCGGGGGCTCGCGGGAAACAGCTCCTCGCTGTGAAGCAGGTTTCAGCCGGTTTGGGCTGGAGGCGGGGGACCCAGGGTGCAGCCCTCAGAAAGCCTCCGGGGAGGGAAGTCACTGCCTCAGGAAACAGCTGGGGGCCTGGAGGGCAGCTCCCACCCTGGGGCAGACTGGCACCCTCTGTCCCCCCCACCACCCTCCACCAGCTACTTCCTTTAATCTGTCCCCTCCACAGAGCTGGCTGACCCCACAGTGCACAGGCCTCCTGCCTGGGGCAGCTCTCCCAGGCTCCCCTCACTCAGCACACCTGCCCAGGCCGCCATCTCCACCCTGTGCCCAGGTGCCTGCCCTGTGGGCCCCATACCCAGGTGGAAAGTTTTCCCTAGAAACAGGGGCCTAATCACAGTCCCCCCATGACCCCTCTGTGACCTGGTGGCTGCGCTCCAATAAGCCCAGGACCAGACTCTCTCAGATGTTCCCCAAAGGGAGGCAAGGCAGCCTTGACTCACCCGGGGGCATGGCACTGAGGGCAGACACTCGGGTTGGCCTTGCATCCCCAGGAGCCGGGTAATCACATGGCTCGTCCTGATGGCAGAGGAGATTCCAGGCCTGAGCAGGGTGGCTGAGCAGCCTAGACTCGGGGCTGGGCCCCTAGGCTGGTCTGAGACAACCTGGGACAAGAGGGGGAGGGGAAGCTCCATTTCCTACCTGCCCACACCTCGTCCCTCCTGGCTCCCCTTTAACCCCGCGATCATCCCCAGCGTGGGGGTGGGCAGGAGGAGGCTGTGCTGGACCCCAGGAGAAGGGGCTGGGCTCCAGGAGCAGGCTGGGCAGGGCCGAGGGGCAGAGGGAAGGGTTAGGACCTGTTCTCAGGGGAAGCAAAACAAGCAGAGCAACAAAGGGCTTTGGGGTTCGGATGGCGTCTCGGGGATTAGCGATGCTTGGGCTGGAGGGGGGCCAGGCAGGGAGTCTCGGGAGGAAAAGCCGCCAGGGCCGTCCTCCCTCCGGCCGCTGATCCTGCCTCGGCCCTCCCCTCCCCTAAGTTCAAATGCTCCTGGGAGATGCTCCCCGTACCAAACCCTCACTTCAAACCCCACAACCCACCCTCCACTCCACCCACCTGCCCCCAGGCCCCGCGCACCAGGCTCTCCATGAAGCGGGGCACGTTGTCCATGAGCAGGGCCTTCAGCTCCTCCAGGGACAGGGTCTCCACGTCCCCCTCCCGGGCCGCGTACTGGTGGTAGCTGTGGATGATTTGGAAGAGGGATTCCTCGACTGGCGTGTCCGTCATGGCAGCGGGGCCCTCTGATGGCCGCGGACAAGGGCCAACTCCAGAGATGTGGAGGTGGAGCAGCTGCGGACAGCGGAGAATCGGGGAGAGAGAGCAGCACCTCCTCTGGGCCAGCCCACGCACCCTCTGCCCTTCCCTTCCTGCCCACCTGGCCTCAGGCCCCTCCCTGCCCATCCTCGGTGCCTCCAATTACGGCAGCCAGTGTTGTGACTCCTCACAGGTTCCTGGGCAGCACAGCTGAGCCTTCACTGCATTCCTGGGATGACATCACACGCACTTGCTCCCTAAGATGCACTCAGCCAGCTTCAGGGACCCACCTTCCCTCAGAGCCTGATCTGAAGCATCTCAGACCCACACGAGGTCACAAGGTTATCCATCTCCCTGCCTCCAGCTCATCCTCCCAGCTCCAGGGCTTGGGTGGGGCTACACACACAGCCCCAATACATCTCCCTGGCATGTCCTACCTCAATTAGTGAACCCCCAGACTCCACCGTCATGAAGGACAGTCACTCATCCGACAGCGTGCCAGGGCTCTCCGGGCAATATGAGTAGGACACGCGGCCAGCTCACAGGGCGGGAACGAGCGGAGGGGACAGTGACACACTGTGAACACTGCTGATTTAGTGGCACAAACGGGGCACCCTGGGCACCCAGGAAGGGACACCGTCTGCCTGGAGAGTTGCGGAAGACTTCCTTAGGAGGCAACATTTAGGTGGGATTGAAGAAAAGAGGTTGTTGCGAGGAGAAGCACGGAGGACCAGGACTCCAGACGGAGGGACCGCATGGTCAAAGGCTTGGCCTCCATATAGGTACCACCTGGGCCTTTGAGTGGCAGGTCAACTCCTTCCCCCATCTCCAGCTTTCTGTCCGCCAGCCAGCCCTTCTATCCCTGGGAGGGGCACACCGCGGGGGAGTGAATCTCCCAGAAGGGGGCGCCAACGGGCAGGTTATTGAACCAGAGATTAAGCCTCCACATCCCTGAAGGTTTGAGAGAAACAGGTAAATTTTAAAAAGCCAAATTTTTTTTCCAGTTTACAGGGTGAGCCTTCATCTACCCAACATAATGATTTCCTTGGCAAATAAGTGGTTCATCAATACACCAAAATAAAAATGGATCACGTGTCTAAGAGGTAAAACAATTCGGCAATGCCAAGCTAGAGTCACAGAGAATTTATGGACTACCTTAGATTCAGCCATCATTCCCCTGGGAATTTATCCCAAGAAAGTAATTAAACAGCAATAAAACTGGTAAAAAAGCAATAAGTAGGTGTTTACCACAGCAATGTCTATAGCCATATAGGGAAGATAAAAACCTAGAAACCGTGTTGGCTCAGTGTTTGAGTGTCTACCTATGAACTAGCAGCCGTGGGCAAACTACGGCCCACGGGCCGGACCATCATTCCCCTGGGAATTTATCCCAAGAAAGTAATTAAACAGCAATAAAACTGGTAAAAAAGCAATAAGTAGGTGTTTACCACAGCAATGTCTATAGCCATATAGGGAAGATAAAAACCTAGAAACCGTGTTGGCTCAGTGTTTGAGTGTCTACCTATGAACTAGCAGCCGTGGGCAAACTACGGCCCACGGGCCGGATCCGGCCCGTTTGAAATGAATAAAACTAAAAAAAAAAAAAAGACCATACCCTTTTATGTAATGATGTTTACTTTGAATTTATATTAGTTCACACAAACACTCTATCCATGCTTTTGTTCCGGCCCTCCGGTCCAGTTTAAGAACCCATTGTGACCCTTGAGTCAAAAAGTTTGCCCACCCCTGAGAGGGTCATGGTTTGATTTCGGTCAGGGCACATGCCTGGGTTGCAGGCTTGAACCCCAGTAGGAAGCATGCAGGAGGCAGCCAATGAATGATTCTCTCTCATCACTGATGTTTCTATCTCTCTCTCCCTCTCCCTTCCTCTCTGAAATCAATAAAAATATATATTTTTAAAAACAACCTAGGAACCACCTAATTAAGGAATTTGGTGTGCCAATATGATAATAACTTATCACTTAAAAATAATTCATTTTTGACACAGAGCTTGTTGGAGGTAGAGGTTTCATATTGTACCCCCTTCACCCTGCCTTTTTTTCAATCTGGGACAAAAACAACCCCCCCCCCACACACACACACACACACACTGTCCCAATACACGGTGAGGATCTCCTTCCACAGCTGTGCTGTAACTAGTCTTTGCATTAATACTGTGCTGTGGACATCTGCTCACACACTAAGTGAATGGAGCCTAATTTTTAACGAGTGCATAGTGATCATTTACTTGCATATGTCAACATTTGTTCTTTAATCCATTACCAGTAGCCATTTAAATTACGTTAGGTTCATACGATTCAAGGTTAATTCTTTCTTAACACTGACATCTCTTATTAGATTTTATTAAATATAATTTTATTAACATTTTATTATATTATATTTGAAATACATTTTATTTTAACTGAATATTACAGAAACTACAGTAAAAATTTAAGTATATCTAATATAAACACAAAAATGTAAAAACTGCAATTAAAGGGGTGAGCGGCAGGGGGAAGCCCTTTCTGCCGTGGCAGCTACACACGCTGCAGCCCAGGACCGGGGACCACGGGTCTCGCAGGAGCTGAAGCCAGTTGCCCACACGCTGCAGGCGATTCTTCTGCCTCGTGAAGGTCAGTGAAAGCTGTGCCCGGAGCCCGCTCTGACTCTGGAGAGGCCACTGGAATCGGCGTTGCCTCTTGAGGTCTTTTTTTATCTGGCTCTGGAGCTGGTTCTGTAGATCCCAGAAGAGAACATGTTACCCCCATGACTGCCTCGATGTACCTTCTATAGACAGAACATCTCTCCTGTCCATCCATGGAGTCCCAGTGCCAGAGCCCACCCCAGGAAGTCTTCCCAGCCTGCAGGCCATGGGGACAGTGATCTGAGCCGGCTCTGCCCCTGGCCTCTAAAAGCTCTTCTCTGTGTGGCCGAGCCCCATCTCCTCCGCACACGCCCACATCGCCTCCCTGCGTCCTCCTCACCCTCTGCCTCTGCCTCTGTGGGCTCGCGGCACTCCAGCTCTGAGAGGAGCAGCTGGGCCTGGCGCTCCAGGGCTGAGCCTGGGAAATTGAGCTCCAGGTAGGCCAGCAGCACCACCAGGCCCGGGAATTCTGGGGGCTGGAAAAAATCCTGAGGGGACTGGTCCAGCCACATGCCCAGGATGGAGATGATGACCCTGGGGAGAGACGTGAGCAGCAGAGTCTGAGGCCTGGCCTTTCCTTCCACACTAACCTCCCCGGTGTCCCTGTGGGAGCCGGGGGTCCTGTGCCTCCTGCTCCTGCCCCCTTCAGTCCGGCAGAGGTACCCCTGGCCACCAAGGAGGGGCTGGCTGAAGCCTTCATAACCGAGAGCTCTTGATCAATAGTGAGACTACCTGGCCCTTCTTCAGGGAGGCCTGACAGTCAGTGTCCCTGCCCCCTTCCCACCGGAATGTCAACTACATGAGGGCAGGAAAGGGTGGTGTCTGCTCTGTTCATTGCTCTCATTGGCGCACAGTAGGGGCTTCATAAATATCTGATCAATAGGAGAACAAAAGGTCTGTTTCCCGCCCTGGCCTCTTAGAGATGTCCTGGCACCTCAAACTTTAGCTCCTGCACCGACGTGCTACTGATTCACTAGGTGCCCCGTGTGCTGCTTCTCCTCCCACTGACACTCAACTCCCACAGGCGGGGAGCACCAGCCAAGCACCCACTGTGGAGGTTCTACCAGATTAGTGAGCAGGGTGCCCCACACCCCCTGTTCCAGGTCCCAGGGTGGGGGAATGGATGCAGGGCTGGGTGGGGAGGGGATGGGGATGGATTTTCTGAGGGGCTGACTCTGTCCACTAACCTCCCAATGCTCTCCCACCACCCAATCAACATCCAACGCTCTCTTTGACCTTCCCTTTTTTCTAGGTAAAGTCCTCAGACCTGGGCCCTCTTGCAGAAATCCCATGATGTGTGGGATGCAGGGTTCTGCCAGCACCTCCAATTCTTAGTCCCTATACTCCCCTCATGGCTCTGATCCAAAGCCCACTCACTTTTTCTGCTGGTCCACAGGCCCACCATCCTCTTCAGCATACGGGAAGATGCAGCCATACCTAGAGGAGGCCAGGAGGACGTCACATCGACTGCCCTGTGGACACCACCTGCCTGTGAAGTCTAGTGTGACTGTCTCACTCCCGACTACAAAGAAGCTCTGGAAAGCAGGGCTGGGGTCTGCTCTGTGCACTGGGTTATGGTCAGTGCCTAGAACATGCCTGCACCTGCCGATATATTTGCTGAATGAACGAGCCCCATCACAGGTATCTCAGTTAACCCGCTGCTCACCCCTGGGATTCCTGCTCTGGCTTCACCCAGGACAGAGAACCCTAAGGAAATCTCCAATCTCCTTTTCAAATAAGAAAACAGCTCAGCCCAAGGCCCCGAGGAAAGTGAGGGATGAGACAGAGGCTTCGTCATGAGGAAGAGAAAATGACCAATTAGCACAACCACTGCCCCTCCAGCAGACCTCTCCAATGGCCAGGCACCCAGAGAGCACGTTACAGGGAGGACCCCACCAGGTTTCTATAAAAATCCTATGAGTTTGCTCCTGGGTTTACCCCGCAGTTCAGAGGAGCACACAGACTCAGGGAGATGCAGTGACCTTCTGAAGACTCACAGCTAGCAAGTGCCCGGATGACCACTGTGCTGTGGAGGGGCAGGTGCTCACCTTGTCAATAGTAGGTCCAACACCTGTTGGGTGGTGGCGAAAGTTCTGTAGTTCCAGAGAAAGGTGGGGACGAAGGTGGGGTCCCTGCCCAGGAAGGCAGGCACCAGGTGCTCCACCAGCTTGTCCAGCCGGTGTGCCCGGGCGGTCTGCACCATACAGAGCTTATTTGTGTTCCCGGTTGATGCGGTTTGCCCCTGGGGTGGGACAGAGGAGGGACACGCAGTCAAAACAGCATCACGGACCACCAGGTGGGTTGGCAGCTGCAGCTCAGACCTAACCCACAAGCCCTCAGTGACTGGTGGCAAGGCGGGGGGGCACCAATGCTTGCAGGAGGGAAAATGTTCTTGGCATGAAAAGTAGAATTGCCCCTGGCTGGTATGCTCAGTGGTTAGAGTGCCCCCCCCACCACCACCACCCCTGCCCCCCGCCTCTCCAAAATCTCTCAGTTCAATTTTGGTCAAGGGCACCTATTGGGTTGCGCATTTGCTTCCCATGCCCCCTGTCGGTCAGGGCGTGCGTGGGAGGCAACCAGTCGATGTGTCTCTCTCACATCATTGTTTCTCTCTCTCTCCCCCTCCCTTCCTCTCTTCCACTCTCTCTGAAAAGCAATGAAAAAAATATCCTCAGGTGAGTATTAACAACAGCAAAGTAGAATTGGAGGTGTGGGACAACGAAGCACATTAGTAACCTAGGTCATATTTTGCTAGCTGAGGGTGGACAGCACGTCCCTGTGTTAACAGTGTCATCCCTGGGATTTCTGACAGAGCATCCCATGCTAAGATGAGAACACAGAGGCTTTTCATGGGGTGGGAGGGGTCAGGATATTAGGACAGGTGAGATGTTCAGGGCAGCACTGTTGACATGGCAACAGAAGGGGATCAGTCCAGGCCCCACAGCAGTGAAGGGCTGGATCGCCATGGTAACTGGTCCCCCTCGGGGTATAACATACAGCCCTGGGAGACCCCAGCTCCTGACCTGGAGGGGCCACCAGGATATATTCCTCTGGGGCAGAAAGTGGCAACGCAACAAGACATGGTACCATGAGCCCCGTGTCTTTTTGGGGACAAGCATCCCTACTATTCATGATGGCGGGTAAGACTGAGAGAGGCATGCAAGGATTGTCAGGCCAACATGGACACTTGGGGATGGGTGTTAAACAAGAAAATCTGTAGAAAAATGCAGAAATACTCTTGACTGAACGTGAGGTGAAATGATACAAAAGCCTCCTTCCTGATATTCCTACAAATATGCAGACAGTGACTTTGCTCCTGGCAGGAAGGGGCTGGACAGTGAGGGTGGGTTGGGGGAGAAGATGGAAACCCAGGTTCCTTTGGGAGCAGGACTCTAGGAAGGGGCTCCGGGGAGTAGCAGGGTGGCTTCTGGGACCCGGGCCCCTTTGACTCCTGGGGTCCTGGAGGTCGGGCCACCTGGGCCTCTGCACTCACCTTGAGACCGAGCGGCACTCTTTGGGCAGCGTGGGCCCCCTGTGCCCCCTGCTGGGGGATGGCGTTGAGAACCCCATCAGTCGGCTCCTGTCTGACCTCCTGTCTGACCTCCTGTGGGGAGCTCTGTAGAGACAGTGCCCAGCCACCAGGCGGAAAGCCTCAGAGCCCGGCCTGTGCTTCGCAGACCCTGTGGTTCTTTCCACTCCAGACACATACACCACATTTTACTCAGACCTCCATGAAGGACAGAAAAGGCGTGACAGCCTGAGGGCCTAGGATTGTCATTGGCACAGAGGAAAGGCCCCTTGGAAAGCCCCTCTCTGTGCTGGTTGTAGTCATGACAGCATCACTAGGATATGCCCCGCCCTGCAACCTGCCCAGGGGTCCTCCCTTCAGGTTCCCCTTCCCCCACATGGAGAGGAGGGGATGGGGGCTGCCCAGGGATGGCTCCCAGAGGTGGCCCGGCCTGAACTGGGCTGACTGAGGCTGCCTGTGTTACCTGAGGGGATCTCCTGGAGAATGGCCAGAGACGCTGGGGATGAGGGTTGAACCAACGTCTCCAGAATTTGGAAAAACTCCCACTGTGGGGTCTCCGGGAGCAAGAGCCCCGATAACTAGAGATCCAGCAAGAGGACATCTTCAACTCTCAAGTGTCTCTTGCCAAGTGAACTGGCTGTTGGGCTGTCGCTAGAATGTGGCTGCCTGGTTACGGGGGGTTCTAAGTTCTTTAGGGAAGTGACCTCACTTCCTGTGATCCCCTTCCCTGAGTCCCCTCCTCGAATAACAGATATCTAAATAGTCCTCGGGGTTGCTGACTGCTCACACCCCTTCTCCATGGAATACATATCGGTCCCCACTAACACCAACACGCCTTCCTCCACAGCCCCCTAGGAGGTCTGGGTACAGCCAGGGTCCAAGATTTGAGGAGATAGACCTGGGTTCAGACTCAACCCCTCATTCTTTCTTCTTCTTGATCCTGGACAAGCCACGGTGGCTGTCAGGGCCTGTCTGTCTCCTGCCTGCACAATGGATTATGCAGCATGTACATCTTGGAAATAATGTTCAGGCACATGTGGGAGAGCAGTTGTAAAGTTGGAGGAGTGCTGTCATGTGGAAGAAGTGCCTCCGACCTGTTTTTGCTTTCTCTTGTCACCTCCTCTACGTCTGCTCTTCTTAGTATCCCTCCCATAGTCATTACAGCTAAAGCCAAGGGCCATCTGGATACTTACAACACCATCCAAGGGCCATACAAAATTGTCACCTTAAAAATCAGCCTGCTGTATTTGGTCAAACATTTAATTAACTCACCCCTAATGCCTTGGCAGGGCCAGACCAAATGATTTTGTGGTCCTTATACAGGCCGCTGGCCAGACATTCCCCACCCCGACCCGTGTGTGTGTGTGTGTGTGTGTGTGTGTGTGCACTCTCACTTTCTATATCCCAAAAAAAAAAAAAAAAAAAAAAAAAACCACAGTCCTCACACAGGCAGGAATAGGCAAGAGCTTCCCATATGTTAGGATTTCTAATTTTCAAACCAACCCTATGGGACAGGTTGGAGCCTTTGCCTGGAAGGTCACAACACTCCTGACCTCTGGACTCCGCCTGTCATGCACCTTGGCCAGTCTCCACCTCACTATGGGCCGCAATCATCCAATTTAGAGTGAGATTCAAACCTGCATAAGCATGAGCTCTGCATAAAGGAGCCCCCAGCTCCCTCCACCCTGGTGGCTGTGGAGAGGAAGGCACCCCATATTCCCTGACCGGGCCTCTCCTCAGACAAGGACTGGCCAAATGCTCGTCTGGACGGCCAAATGCTCACCCTCTCCCCTGTGCCATCTCCATGGCTGCACATGGTTCCATCAGCACAGTCTTTTCCAGAGCCCCTGAGAAAGCCTGGGTGCAGCCAGGACCCCAACTGTGAGGACACCGTTGTCTCTGTGATTCTGGGCAGAGCAGGGGCCTTTCAGAACCGTCCACTTCTCCCCCGAGTGGCTCCCCACGATTCACACCTCCTGGAGGACACATCCTCCTGTGATGTGGATGGTGCCCTTCCCTTAAGTGTGGCCTCCATTAGTGACTCCCTAGGAGACAGCAAAGTGACCCAAGGTCACTTCCAAGATTTGCTTATAAAATATCAGGGCCTAACCACTTGCTCGCTCTGATCTGTGTCTCTCTGTCTCTCTCAGGTCCCTCATCCTGGGGACTCAGCCTCTGTGCTATGAGTTGCTGTCTGAAGAGACCCACGTGGCCTCGCACCGAGGGGAAGTCGGGCCTTCGATCCAAGCTGAATCCTGCCAAGACCCCCCGAATGAGCTCAGATCCCGAGTGAAACAGGTCCTGCCTCAGTTGAGACCGCAGCCCCAACCTCCTGGGAATCACTGGCAGAAATACTCAGCTGAGCCTCGCGGGATTCCCCGTCCAAGAAACCGAGATAATAAGTGTTTCCTGATTGTCGCTAAGTGATGGGTAACGTTGTCACACGGCAATAGATCCCTAATGCAGCTGCCCCTGCACCAGGCCCTGGACCAGTCCTCCTCCCTCCCACCCTCCCTCCCCTATCTCCTCCCAGGCTCCCTCCAGCCACACCCACCTCCTTTCTAAGCTCCTCTCTGTCCAGACACCTTCTGCCTGCAAGTGTCTGCACAGTTGTGCCTTCTGTCAGGAGAAATATGCCTGAGGATCAGGGAGCCGCGGAAGGAGTCATCCACATGGACAAATACCTCACCCACCGAGTTTCCTGCAGGTGGGACAGGAGATTTTGGAGGCAGTTGCCTAATTTCTCCCTGAAGAATGTGGCCTGATTGAGGGGTTAGCAGGAGACTGTGAGTAGGAGGTAGGGAGGGCCCCGGCTGGATGATGGGATCCTCAAGGAGGGGAGCTACTGAAGCAGCAGGGACATGCCCGGAGGTGGCCCTGGATGTGCAGGTGAGTGCTGACTGGCCTCCTGGCACCACGGAGAGACCCCATCGGTGGGAGAGCCAGCGCTTGCTCAGGCAGCCCCTGTGTCTTGCTTCTTTCTAAATGCTCGGCCTCTACCACCTTGCCTGGCCTGAAAGGGCCTGTGGGTAATGGCACGTCTCTTTCCGCGGCTCATGGAGTGGACGGTCACTGATGACTCAGCATGAGCTCTCCGCTCCTCCCTCGTGCCCTCTCCTCCCCGCTCCTCTTCAGTCCTGTCTTCTCACTTGCTGCCCAGACACTCTCTGGACTCCAGCACTAGCTTTACTCCTCATGCCTGGAACAGCCATCACTCTGTGCTTTCCCCACACACCCAGCTCCCAGCATTTAGCAAACCATTAGAGGATCAGCTCAGCAGACAGGGTGGCTCTCTCACCTCCACAGGGACACCACACAGGCTAAAACACACACACACACACACACACACACGCACATGCACAGGGACAGGACACAGGACACAGGACACAGGACAAGGGATCCAGTCCTCTGGGCACCGCTGAGTGTCCCATTCAGTGACCAGTGCCCATGTGCCCCCAATGCCCTCCACGGAATGCCTACTTCAGTGGTGCCATCTCCCCTATGTCCCTGGGGTCATGCTGGGCAGGAGTGCAGGGGCATGAGGCACCGTGTTCACACCTCCCTCAGCTCCTGCTCCCTGCAGGTCCTGGATCGCCCGATGCTGATCGCGGCTTGAGAAGGAAAAGCATGGCTGGGCCAGCGGAATGCTCTGCACTGCTGACCCTGGGACCTGGCACGCTGGCTGCACTAGGGAGCAGGGGCAGAGGTGGACAGAGGCCCTGCTGAGAGAGGTGGTCAGTTATGCTGGAGGCCAAAGGGAGGGCACCCGCCTGGCACATTCCTGGGTAAGTCCCCCCATGGAGAACCCACAATTACATTCACCAAGAAGGGGCAGTTCTGACAGCATAAGTAGCCAAAGAAAAGCAGGAAACAGGCTGTATCTGGGCAAAAGACACACTTTATTGTTTCTTGTGGTTTCTGGGGGCCTCAGGCTGGGCTGGGCTCAGTGTCCTCCACCAGAACTGGGTGGGGTTACGGAACAGAGCGGGGCTCCGTGGCTCTGATTGTGGTAGTCGGTGGCTATGACTCCCAACACCGACAGAAACTCGGAAAACTCGATCTTCTTATCCTTATTCTTGTCCTTTTCCTCAAAGATATGGTCCAAGAAATCATTGCCCTTTTTGTCCTGTGGGAAAGACACGAAACAAGACAAATTCAATCCCAAAAGTGTTATGGGTAGAATAGGAGGAGAAGGAGGCAGAGAGGGGGAGAGAAGACCTGGGGCTGCACAGGTGTAGCTGGTGTGAGTCAGTGGGGGTCCTGGGG